GGAGCCATGATTAACACAGCCCTAGACTTTTGGGCCAGGCCCAGGCAGGGTGGAGACTCATCTGATTAACAGGCCATCAGCAGCAGACAGACAGCCCGGAGCCCGGCGCAGACCATTCAAATAATGATCATCATAAACAGCCCATTTGCAACTAAAAAGAAATAATTTTAATGAGCTTGAAGCAGATGATAGATGCAGCTGAGGCTCCAGCCAATGTGCAGAGAGAAAGGAAGCTGGGATTGCGCTGCACCCAGGACCAGGAGCAGCTAAACAGCTGTGTTGCTAGCCCACTGTAAGTGCCCACTGCCCAAACAATACCCCTCACTCTCTAGGATCTGCCATCATCAGGGTGCTGGGCAACCTTGGGGCTTAGAGTCTCAGAACGTCTGAGCAAGAAGAAACCCCTGAGTTGTCTGGACCATCACTGTCCAAACTTCAACCACACATACCTCTCCTGCTGCATGAATTTTACCATACTGATATTCAACATGAATTTCTATTTACTTAATATTTACATCTTCAATCGACTCCTATTTCTTTTTGAATGAGACATGCATAACTTTAAGTTCAATTTTAAGGTAGAATTTTTACACCCTTGTAACCACTGCCCAGATTAAGGTATAGAATGTTCACATTCCTAGCACCTCAGAAGGCTCCCTCATGCCCCCTTCTAGTGAGTACTGCTTAAAGGTAATTCTTATTCTATTGTCAGAATGAGAAATAATGCAAGGGCACTGAGGATGGATAACCAACTGCTCCTCCTGACATGAGTCAATCCTTTCTAAAGCCAGGTATAGTTACTGCTAATGATCATCTCATGTCCCATCAGCGGGTGCATGCTCCACACTCTAGCAAACACTAGTACAATCCAATTCTCCCACTTCAAAGATGAGGAAACAGGGACAACTTAGGCTACTGCCCCTGCCACAGAGCTGATTAAGAGGTTGGATTTCCTAAGAGGGGAGGGTGGGTTTTGGGTGGGGAAGGAAAACTGTTAGTTACCTATGGGGAGGCAAGTTAAACAATCTTAGTTCAACCAGGAAGGATTGGGAATCTCACCAGAATACTTAGTTTTGAAAGAAATTTAACAGCCAATCCCCAAATGTCAACTATGTACAAAGTTTTGAGCTAGACACTGTTCTTATAGGGGAGACACACATAAGACACAATCTGAGTTGTGCATGTTCATGTCAGTTCCCCCACTCTGCTCAGCTCTGAAGACTCATACTCAGACACATCCCCCTAATGTCAACTCTGAGAAAAGGCCTTTCAAAAAAAATGCAGAAATTGTTAGGAACCAGGGTTATGGAAGTGAGGAATTCAGGTGTTTCCATGCTTTTAAGAGATTCATGAAGGAAAATAAAGTCTTCCTCATTATGTCCCTTCCCTGCTCAAAAACCACTTATGGCTCTTCACTACCCTAGGACAATTTTCACACTTCTGATTTAGGCATCACTGGATCCCTGCTAGCCCCTCCCATTTTCTCCTTCCCAACCAGATTGAATTCCTTGTAGAGAAATCCAAATGCACCGAGGTCTCCCTTCTTCATGGCTCCACAGACTTCACCCC